CGCCCCGCCGTATCGCCGCGACGCCAGCTCCGCCCTCCATCAACACAAAGTAGGTTGTAGTGCAACAGAGGGCGCAGAAACCTAGAAGGGAAAACTTTCCCACCTCTCCCAGTTACTCCCTTTCACAAATGCAGTGGTGTGGCCACTGTGGAAATATTTCAGACACTGCAAAAGGTAATAAAATAAAGCAACTGACACAAATGAGTTCTTGAGAATGCATTATAAAATGCTTATTTAAGGTAGTGCTTAAACCAATACAGTCACACTAATATGGGGAAAGAGAGATGGACTCTAGTAGATGTTGGCCCAGTACAGGGCCTTACATTTTTACAGGTCATTGTTTGCATTAATATTTTTCAAAAGCTGTATCTAACTTGTTGCTTTCCTAATGTCCAAATCTACCTGAAAGGTAGATTAACACTTTCTTTTTTTTTTGCCCTTTTACAGAACCACATCTAAGGTCCTTAGATCATAGGGATCACTGCTTGGAGAAGAATATACATTTTGCATGGAGAAGGCCCCAGGTTTTTATTCCAGACATGTCCAGTCATCTTCTTCTCTCTATTTTTCTACCTGTTCTGTTTCTTTTATGCAGAATTTAGGCTGAAATTGTAACCATATTTAAGAAAGAATCCAAGACTGGCTCTGGTTTGTATCTTCTGAAACTCTAAAGATCTGAAGAACTTTTGTTCTTCAGCTATTTCAGGGAAACCTGCTTTGCATCAGCCAAAGCCTAATTCAAGTCAAAAGAAACCTGTACAAGTACAAAAGAATTTATCCAAAATTCACCCCTCATATTCAGCAAATCACATATTTTGGTCATTTGCTTTGGAAAACCTGTAGTCCTGTTGTAAAAGTACAAAAATACCCAGAATGGTTCAGAAAGGTTTCTGAAGCATATTCCTGCATTTCTCTGAACCAGTGGAACAAAGAACAGGAACAAGTCTTTCCTAGAAGAAAAAGGAGGCTGAAAAATAAATATGAACTTTGACCAAACTTACTTCAGTTTCTCTAAAAAGGGAAACATCAATAGGGAAGAAAGAGACAGACACCAGAAAGCCTGTTAACAACAGAGCAGTAATTCCTGGAAGTCAACACAATGAAATAGCTGTTCTCTGAATTTAAAACCAATCTGCCTCCTGGTGGCCAAACCTATTTGTTACAGAAATAAGCACTAACAGGAAAAAGAGCATACAAAAATCCCAATTGTACATACCCTTTCAGGAAAAGCAATGTTATAAATAGTAGAAAACAGTAAGGTAAAAGAATTAAGGGCATTACATCCTCAAAAGAAAAGGAAACATAGCTGAAACTAATTTACACCAACACTATTCACTATTTGGATCCAAAGCAGGCAAAGATTTTTTGGATCTGTTGTGGGTGCCCTTGCTGTAGCTGTTGCTGGGCTCTCACAGTAGCCACATGGGCTCAGGAAAATACCCATTTGAGTTCAGGAGGCATCAAGGAAGCAGTGGTAGCCAACACTGGCTCTCTAGCGAGCAAAGGAATAAGGCTCCTAAAAAGTGATTGTTCTTATCTATAATCAGAAATTCAATATTGTAAATAAGTTAAATAAGTTAGCAGGACACTCCAAGTTTAGCAAAGAAGGGCAGTCATCTTGGAAAACTTTAATGAAGATATGAATCCACGGAAAATGGCTAATCATGATAAATGCACAGGACTGGACTACAATAGCATGTTTACAGGTAGTCCTCGCTTAATGACCCCAATAGGGACTGGAAAATTGATTAAGCGGGGCAGTCATTAAGCAAGTCACCACATGACTGGACCTGATTTTTATGATGGCCATTAAGTGAATCACCATGGTTATTAAGTGAATCACATGGTCATTAAGTGAATCCAACTTCCCCAATGGATGTTTTTTGCTGGAATTCACTTAATGACCACAAGAGTTGCTTAACTACTATTGTAAAAAAGCTTGCAAATCATGAGCATGTGACTGAAGTGGGGGTGCTTTGGTTTGCGACAGTTGTAAGTGCAAGTACAGGTCATAAAGCACTTTTTCCAAGGCTGTCCTAACTTTGAACTTTTGTTAAATGAATGGTCATTAAGTAAAAACTACCTGTATTTCCTTATCTCTTTAGAAAGCCCAAGGGAAACTCTATTAGGTTGTTATTCTTTCCTTATTTGAAGAAAAACCCTCCTTTTCTCCTCAATCTGCACTGTGGTAGGCATTAGCTAAGGAAATAAGGAAACTCCTCCATGCACTAAACAGCACATTATTAACCAATTTCATTTGGAAGACTTACTGCAAATTTCATCAAGTAAATTGGAAAATGTACTATAAATTTCATCAAGTTTTATAAATATTCTCAAAAATTTATGGTCAGCCAACTGGAGAGCAGAAAAATGCTGTATATTCTTTCTGGTAAACAAAAAATAGAGAAGCATTTTGTAGTTGCTGTTTCTTTCATCATCTACCATTTAAATGAAATTCCTGGAAAAATCCCCACAAGAAAAATCCCGCTGTTTTGAAATGAGCAAAGTGACCTTGCACAGCCTATGAACTTTGAGAGATTAAAAGACTGGTCAGCTACTCAGCTTGTGCAATAAGATTATATATAAATACTGTGCTGGTGATTCTTGGAAGGCACACAGTCATACCTTGCTAGGTACTGCATGGGCACTCACTTTCTCTCTACTCTTTTTGATCATGATGATGATGATGATAACTGATTTCCTCTGTAACTGTGCATATCTAGATAAACAATAAATTGAGCCAGTAATATGAAAGCATTTTTAAAAGGAGTAATGTTAAAATAAATAGCACTTATTTAGAGAATTTCAGGTGTTAAAGTAACTGCAGCATTCCCGGAAGATAAATGGAGAAAGATCTGGTTCTAACATTAAACTCTTCAGACTGCCAATCTCTGTTACCCATTACACTAAATGTACATTTTACTGGCAAGCAGATCATTCAAAAACAATTACAGTGTAACTAACTGATAACAAAAACTGACAAACTCCACACATTCAGTTCAGGTCCATTCAGGAGTTTGAGCAAAGAGGGGGAGCAGGACAGAAGGTCAGCTAAATTAGGGCATGAAAAAAGAAGCCCATTGCTGTGTTTTGCTTGGAAACTAGCCCAGCTTAGTATCTGCTGTGTTGACAAACTCAAAGATTGAACATGACAGCGTACTTAACAAATCAGGATGGCCTTGGCAGATATCAAAATAGTAAGAATATTCTTTTGTGTTCCCTATCCCTGCTTGCATCACACAGGATAATTACTTGTTTAAAAACTGGGTGGGCAGGCTGGAGCTCTGTGACAACGGGAACCTGGCCTGGAAAGTAATATCAACTGATTGCCAGTTTTGTGTTGGGCTATTACTGTACTTTTAAGCTCCATTTAGCAACGAAGGATTTGGCACCCTGATTATTAAGGTGAGAAGGCAAAGTCAAGAACCTCCTGTTCCCATTTATGTTCCCTGAAGCTTCTTAACAGCTGACCACCATTGTGCTTCCTTCAGAATAGAAGGTTGCAGGCACTTATATGCATGTAGAAAACAGCTGCAACCTTCCCTTTCTAACAACTTGCCTCTGTCTCTGGTCGAGGAATGAAAACTGGAGGCTTCATCTTCAGTGTCAGATCTCGGAAGTCCCATTCACCAAGAACATACTGTACTGGCATCCTGGAACAGAAGGTGAGTGGTGTGATACTTCTGGCCAAACTTGTATGAGAAGTTATTATCATATTTAGCTGACCATCATTTGCCAAAACATAAACTGCACTGGCAGTCCTCTCCTTTGTGGGTGAAGTGGGAGGGAAGAACATTCAGTGCTACCATAGAGAGCATTTTATCATAAATAATATCTAAATGTTCTTTGATGTGTTAAAAAGTTCTTTTACTTCTGAAGCAAAAATATTACTATCAGTAACAACCTCTTACAACATGGTTTTACTCATTGTTCCACCATTAGAGAATAGTTTAGCATTCAAGCTTCCCAAGATCTCCTAAGACAACTCTTCACAAAAGAGTTTCATTAAACTTCATAAGCATAATACAATAACTTATCTCAAAGTAAGTCTACGCTACTCATCAGATACTACATTTTTTATTGTAGATAGTGCCTCAGTTACTAGCCTGTGCAAACTGCCATATGACAAAACTTTTCCCATTGTTGTGCTTCCTTTAAAATGCTCTATTCTCTGCTGAATCTCACATGCACAGAGCCGTATTTATATATATACATACAGTACTGACATATACATACAAATCCTGATTCTAGTCCTCTCTTAGGCTTCTGCATTGGGTGATCTCAGCTAAGCCATTCCCTCTCGGCCCTAATTAGCCTCAGAGTCTGCAACAAGCTGTCTGAAAAGTAAAACTTGTTGCATTATGTGCTGATTGCTTCACAATAAGTGAAGTGTGAAATTTTGCACCCCATGAAGTGTGGTGCAAAACAAGCAGGTCTTGCAACCAAGCAGGACAAACATTAGGACAATAATGTGCTATGGAATAGGCAGATGCTTTGTTCCTGTAATTTTCTTAACCAGTTTCTTGTCATGCTGTTAGAGTTAATGGCCCTTTCAGGATAATTTATGAAATTATGGAATATTTAATGGTCTCATTTTGGCTCAGAGCCTAACTGCAGAAAGGATGAAGATTAAATTTATCCGTTGCTTTGTTGACTGTATATTTGCTCTTTCCTTCCTCTGCTTCTCCCCTAGTGTAACTGTGGCTTTTAGTTTCATGGCCTTTAACAGCTTTTGTTTATATTTTTTTCTTTTTCGAAGGGTTTGTGTGTATAAGGGCTTTTCTTTTTTCTAACATAACTTCATATTGTAGATTACACCTGCCTATTGATGGCGCTAGTCACCTTATGCCACTTGATCATGCCTTTGATTTAGTATACATGAACTGTTGTATCCTTAGCATCTCAATCTCTTAAGGAACAAAATTATAGCCAGTCATAATTGTAATTATAGATAGTCCTCGCTTACCGACCACTTGTTCAGTGACCATTCAAAGTTATGACAGGGCTGAAAAAGGAGACTTACAACCGATCCTTGAAGTTATGGCTGTCACAGCATCCCCACAATCATGTGATTGCAATTTGGGTACTCAGTGACCAGCTTGCAATTAGGCTGTCACAGCGTCCTGCAGTCATATGATCGCCATTTGTGATCTTCACAACTGGCTTCCGACAATCAAAGTCAATGGGAAGCCAGCAGGAAGTCGCAAGTTGCAGTCACATGACATTACACTTAATGACCCACAGTGATTTGCTTATTGATTGCAGCTGGAACTGATGTTTAAGTCGGCATGGTCACGTGATGTTTCACATTATGACCGCATCACTTAGCAATGGAGTTGCTGGACCCAATTGCAGTTGATAAATGAGGACTACTTGTACCTGGGCTTGTTAGCCACTTGCTTTGGAAATATATGCTTCTGCAAACTAAACGTCTAGCTTCAGGTTAATGTTTCCCTTTTTTTGTAGACAGCCAGAGAGATGGCCTTGGAGAAGAATCCAGAGGCCATTAGAAAAACCTGAGATGCAGAAGAAACATGCATTAAGTCCAGAGAGGTGGGAGAATTTTACAGACTCAAACTACCCCCCTCCCACTCTGAGGGAGGAAAGGAAAACACAGACAGACTTGCAAGATTCTGTTATTATAGCCTATATCAACAAAGCATAATTTTAGTCCTTGTGGAGTCCATATCCTGATCTGCCTTGAAGGGCTGACAATCCTGTTGTCTTTCTGCCCAGTTAGAAGCTTCCAAAGAAGAACTATATTCTATCCCTCAGTCAAGGATCTTCAAGTACCTAAAGGGGATTTTTTTTCTTTTTGCATGTCAAGTTTGAACTTTCTTTATACTTAATAATAATAGTTTTTAGAGTAGTCACAAGAAAGGCTACAATATGGGTATGACATTACATGTTATGAGATTAATGGGTAATAAGTAGTCTGAACAAACAATCACTGGTAAAATATTAACATGGGACATCAAAAGGGGGAACTATCAAATGCTTTATCCTATGATATACAGTGGTACCTCGGGATACGAACGCTTGTACTAACGAACTTTTCGGGTTACGACTAGCTCTGGATGCAAAAATTTACCTCAATGTGCGAACTCCGCCTCAGGGTACGGACATTTTTCCGCCCTGACATGTGGTCTGTGGCCATTTTCCCGCCCCTGACATGTGGTCCGTGGACATTTTCCCGCCCCTGACACGTGGTCGGTGGCTGATTTCCCGCCGTGCCGCGCCCGGCAGTTTTCCCGCCGCGCCTGGCCGTTTTCCCGCCCGCCGCGTGGTCCGTGGACGCCAGAACGGATTAACGGTAATTACATTGAACCTTATGGGAAAAT